CGTCTGGGCCTGCTGTCCTTGCTTAGACTCTGTACCGGCCTCTCCACCTCCACTTCCAGGTCCTCACACCGACAGAGCGACCGCCCTACAGCAACTCGTACTTTTTGCCTAAAAATACAGTCCAGACGCCATGTCCTGCCATCGAGTCATCCTTCCAAGGCCCTTTTGAATTTTACATCTTCCCCCTCACCTCCCCCACCAGATCTTGGCTCTACTCTGCCTTTGCTTGTGTCTCCTTTTTCTAGAGCCCTCCTGGCCGTTCAGGGTGCAGCCCCAGCCCCCTCACCCAGGAAGCCCTCCCAGCCCCGTGTGAGCCTCTCTTTATTGTTGTGGTCCACTTGCCAGGTGTCCCCCCTCACCTCTGGGAACAGGCACAGGTGTGGGGAACTTTAAAAAAAATTTTTTTAATTGATTTCAGAGAGTAAGGGAGAGAGAGAGAGAAAAACATCAATGATGTGAGAGAATCATTGATTGGCTGCCTCCTGCACACACACACACACACACACACACACCCAGAGATCGAACCCCCAACCTGGGCATGTGCCCTTGACCGGAATTGAACCTGGGCCCCTTCAGTCTATAGGCCGACGCTCTATCCACTGAACCAAACCGGCTAGAGCCCGGTGTGGGGCATTTATGGGACTGCATGTCTAACAACCCACCCTCTCCTGCTGCCCTGTCTGTGCTGGCCAGGCCTCTGAGGGTGTCCTGTGTGCTGGGGGTTGGGGTGAAGATTCAAGGCCACCCCTGAGGGTAGGAGCAGAGGAAACCCCCTGCTGAGGCCCTGCTGGGTGCAGGCATCCTCGAAGCAGCACTGACAGGGGAGCCCCCTCCTTCCCAAGCTACTTAGTGGGAGCTAAGACTCAGAATTGGGGACCAGCTCCAGTCTGAGTCACAGCCACTGGTGTGGAGTCTGGCACTCAAGCTCTCGCTCAGACCTCAGGTTGCCTGACGGTTCACTCATCCGTTTCCAAGAAGGAGCTGGTGGCTCCCGGGGAGGTTGGGGGAGGGAGTGTTGGTGGGGCTGGCTGTTCAGCACTTGGCCTGGCTGGGTGAGGCCAGACTCCCTGGGCTCTGGGGCCAGCCCTTCTTCCAGTTTTTCCTGAGATCAGCCAGTGGGACCCGCCGAGCCCCTCCCCCACTCAGGATTTGGGAACTAGGATGTGGTCTGTGGCCGAGGTCAGCACCCACTCTGTGCTGGGCCCTTGGGTGCCTAGGCCAGGACTTATTGCCACCAGTTGGGACTAGGGTAGCAGGAAAGACAGGAGGGAAGTGATGCTGTGTTCCTACTGTGTGCCCAGCCCTGGGATGAGGACCCCCGAGGGTCTCACATCCTTAGCCTCATGCCCAGAGGGTCAGCAATCCCCTCCCGGGACAGGCAGGGAAAAGAAGGCCCAGAGAGGGGAAGGGACTTGCAAGACCTGGTGACACTGGGATCCTAACCTAGGCTGTCTGCTGGAAGGCCGGCATTCTTTCCTGGGCCACCCTGGGAAAGATGAGAGCTCTATAAATAACCTGCCCATGTGGCCCTGAGTGTGCCCTGACTACTTGGCACAGACGGAAAGGGATGGAGGGGCCTCCACAGCCAGCTGGAGGCAGGGTCTGAGCGTGTGGGTGGAGAGAGGAGGAAGGAGGGCACCCAGGAGGAGGGACGCGCGCTTGGAGCTGCACAGCCTCACTGTGAGCAGGAGCAGTGAGCTCAGGGAGGGACCCGGCCCTCCTGGGGACCCAGCCGCCTGCATGGACTTGCCTGCCTCCCTCCCTTGGGGGGCCACAAACAGTGATGGCCAAAGAGGCCAGGGGAGGGGAGAGCGGAGAGGGGCCAGGGGAGGGGAGGGAAGGCCCACCCTGACAGGGAAGGCTTCCTGCTGGAGGTGGTTCCTGGGCTGAGGTCTGATTGTAAAAAGAACCCCTGTTCCCCAGTGAACTCTGGGTCCTCCAGCCACCCCCAGAGGTCAGCTGAGCCGGCACAGTTGCCCAAAATTATAGAGGAAACTGAGGCTCGGAGACGTGGGGCGGGTCCTGACTGTGGCTCAGCACCTTCACCTCCTGACTGTGGCTCAGCCAGCACGGAGCAGGTGCACACGGGACGGCATAGGGTCGGGAAATGGGCACCCGGGGTCTTCCCGGGGAGGCCACGGCGCCGCCACCCAGCTGCTGGGCTTGATGTTGGGGTCCCTACAGCACCCTTGCCCACTCCTGCGCCACTGGGTGACCGTGGAAGGTCCCTGTCCCCAGCAACCTACGTCGGGAGGAGATGGAAAAGGGCGCAGGCTGGGGCTGCGGTCTCCCCTCAGTCTCGCTCACCCGCAGCCAGGTCAGGGTGATGGAACAGGGCCGGTGCTGAGCAGACTCGGGCTGCCCTGGCACATGAGTGGTTCGGTACCCGCCGTGTGGCCAGCGCAGGAGGCAAAGGTGGCTTCTCAGAGGAGGAGGTAGCCACAGCAGGACTGGAGTGCGGTGCGGTGCCCTCCAGCCCTCCCAGGCCCCTTGCCGTCCTGTCTTGAGGGCCGAGCGAGACAGCCGCGGGTGGCCCAGCCTCCCTGCCTGGCCTGAGCAGGAAGCCCAGGGTGCTGAGTGACGGATGGTGGCAGAGCCGGACGTGCAGGAGCAGCGGGAATGCCAGGCCTGGGTGGTGTGGCTGCTGCCCGCTCCCACTCCAGGGGAGGGGCTAACCCAGGGGTGGGCAAACTTTTTGACTCGAGGGCCACAATGGGTTCTTAAACTGGACCGGAGGGCCGGAACAAAAGCATGGATGGAGTGTTTGTGTGAACTAATATAAATTCAAAGTAAACATCATTACATAAAAGGGTACGGTCTTTTTTTTTTAGTTTTATTCATTTCAAACGGGCCGGATCCGGCCTGCGGGGCCGTAGTTTGCCCACGGCTGAGCTAACCCTTGTCTCCTTCGGCAGCAGGTTGTTACAGGGTCCTACGCAGCCGCTCCGGCCTCGGTCTCCTCCTGTGTGACGCCTGGAACCCTGCCTCTGAGGGGTTCGGGGAAATTCGGCTGGAAAGGGAGTGAGGTCTGCAGTAAATGCTGTTGGGGAGTCTCAGCTCTGTCTCAGAGACAACTGTCTCCGCTCAGGGAAGGGGCAGGGATAGCATCCGTACTGCACGCAGACCGACCGCAGCAGCTGGGTAGGCCTGGGCTGGCTGCCTCAGCCCTTTCCTCAGGCCAGTGGTTCTCAACCTTCTGGCCCTTTAAATACAGTTCCTCATGTTGTGACCCAACCATAAAATTATTTTCGTTGCTACTTCATAACTGTAATGTTGCTACTGTTATGCATCGTAATGTAAATATCTGATATGCAGGATGGTCTTAGGCGACCCCTGTGAAAGGGTCGTTCGACCGCCAAAGGGGTCACGACCCACAGGTTGAGAACCGCTGCCTGAGTCCCCTCAGCCCCACCTGCCCACGTCACCCCACTGAGCCCCCCAGGCCTGCTGGCAGTTCTGAGGGGAGAAGCAGGCCGGCCCGGGGGTGGGCCAGGGAGCGGGCCAGGGAGCAGGGTTAGAGGCTAGCTAGCATGGCATGGAGTCCTCACCCCAGGGTTGTGAGTGGGGACATCACGGCCGCCCAAGGCTGGGAAGGGGTGGGAATTGGGTGCCCTTCTTGCTGAGTGGCCCTGAGGCAGCCTCTGCAGGTCTCTGGGCCCCAGCCTGTCAGCAGCCCCAGGAGCTTCACCCTGGCACCTCTGCTCCCCCTCAACCCCCTCTCCCCGCCCCCCGCCCCCAACTCCCAGCTTCCCTGCGCTTCCTCCTCCTCACAGCGCCTTTCCCTGGAGCTGGGACAGAGGAGAGCAGTGCAGATGAGTACAGAAGCAGAGAAACCTCAGGTGCCCAGAGGCTCCCGGGGAGGGGGCAGTGCCTTTTCCCTGAGGGCCATCTGGGTGCTGGGTGACAGCCCCTGGCCTGGCCTCGGCCACCGGGTTGGTGGACGCCCGAGAGCAGGTGCCGTGAGCCAGGCCCCTCGCTGGCTCCAGGGAAGGGGCCAGGAGTGAGGTGGGCAGCAGAGTCAGACAGACCTGGGCTCCACCCCTTCACGCCCGTGTGATCGTACAAGCAGCCTCCATGGCCGCAGTCTACCCAGGTGTGCAAAGGGGTGCTCATCTCTCCTGTGAGGAGTGGAGGCAGCACAGGAGGAGGGCCTGGCTCGAGGGAACGAGGGCCGTTTACCTTCCTCGTGAGGATGGAGGATGGGAAGGAGGAGACGCCTAGCTGTCCTCGCCGCCGCCCACTGTGGGCACTGCCCTACTTCAGCCCCAGTTGCCAGGGAACCACCAGGCTCCTCGCTAACCTGGATTTCTCTATTGATGGGCGGCCTTTGTCTTCCCGCCTCTGGTACAGCTGCAGCGAGGGGACCGTATCCAGCTGTGTTTCCAGGCAACCCCAGCCTCGGGAGGCTGCAGGGTGGTCCTCAGGCCCTAGAGCTGGGGAACAGAATCGCCCTCCCCTCCCTGCCCCAGGTGGGCACCTTCCTCACCTCTAGCTCCAAGTCCAGCTTCACTTGGCAGGGAGCCCTCTGAGGCACAGTTGTTCCATTCCTGTTCCTCCCCAGCTAACCCTCTAGGCTCCCGTAGGCCCTGGGCGGGGGTGGGGGTGGGGGGTGGGGTTGGAGGTTAGCACAAGCTTCTCAACTTGCAGCGGGGCTTGGTGTGACCTGGGCATTGCCTTCCCAGACCCTCCCCCTTCTGCACCTTCCCACCTCCCAGAGCCTCCCCATGGCCAGCCCGGCACCCCCTGTGTGCCGGAGTCTGTGCCAAGCGTTATACGTCAGTAAGAGAGTCTCGTTTATACCTTACACCTGCCTGTCAGTGCGTGCTGTCCGCCCTCCACAATGTACACGTGGGCAAACTGAGGCACACCACTGCTCATTAAGAGCTAGCTTTGTTCCGGGTCTCGCGCTGAGTAGTGCACGTGAATTCCCTCATCAGCCCTCTGTGTGGTGGGGGAAGGTCCACGGCCATAGATCCAGCGAAGAGCAAGCAAGTCAGGCTGGTTCCCCCCAAGTGAGCCCGGGGGCTCAGATCCAGGTTCAGACGCCCAGCTCACCCCCCAGCTGTGGGCTCCTGAGTCATCAGCCTGCTCTCTGGCCCTCCTGAGAGCGCCTGTTCTAGGTTCAGCGCCTTCCCCGCACACCGGCCAGGCCTGCGCTGGGGAAGGGGCCGGGTAAACAGGATGGTCGCACACAGGATGATTACTGCAGGAGGAAGTGCCTTTGAGCTGAGCTCTGAAGGAAGAGTAGGTGTTGGCCTGCTGACGGGAGGATGTTTCTGGGCAGAAGAAACAGCAGATACCAGCGCTGGGGTAAGAGAGGCGAGTGTGGGGCACTGACAGCCGAGGCGGAGTCGCTCAGAGCAGCTGGAGTGGGTGGGGCTGGGGCCGGACCTCAGACCAGACACCTAGGCTGCAGGTGGGGCTGAGCTGGAGGCCAGGGAGGTAGGTGGTGGTCTTGGGGTGGGCATGGGGCCCGGAGACCTTCAGGGTTTGGAGGCGATGACAAGGTGGCCGGGGTGAGGCTGGAGAGGGGCTGGGTGCCCTGACCCCGTGGCTTCAGTTCTGGGAAAGGGGAAGCTGCCGCGGGCTGGGCGGGGGCGCGGCTTCCTCTTTCTCTCTGGCCTCCGGGGCTGCGCCTCCCTGGTGCTCCCTGGCCTCGAGGGCCCTCGTCTGGGTGGCTTTGTTAGTTGACCTTCTTCCAGGGAATTTCTGGGTCTAAATGTTTGGGTATTTTTGGAGGGCAGGGCGGGGCCGAGTGTGAGGAAGCCCCTGCTCCTGGGAACCTGTTGGGCAGAGGCCTCCTGCCCCAGACGTGGGCTGGGGAGGGCTTTGTGGTGAATGAGACAGCGTCCCTGCCCAGCTGCTGTCTGGTGGGGGGGCAAACAATAGATACGCAAGCAAACAAATGCTTAATTACCTGCCTGGGCAGGAGGTGCCTCCGGAAAGCAGGGCCTGGGGGGAGGACTCCCACGACCTACTTTAGGCTCCTCGTTACCTCATTTAAACCTCACGACAGCCGACAGCTGAGCCCTGGGAGGACGCTGAGGCCC